ATATTCCAACTAACACACTCAATATCATCCAGTCGAAAAGAAACAGCACTTTCGCAAAGAGTTCCAATCACATATATCGCAGTCCTTAGGAAAATTTCAACCCCTACCTAACTTCTCTCGCACCAACTCTTACCTCGACCAAGTTTGACTGCATGAGCAAGGCCTCTCGTGCATAATACATTCGAGCCACACACGCGTATGTAAATAAATCTGAGAGGGCAAAGTCCGTTCCACCTTTGCTGGCTCCTCGAGTTTTTTTTTTTTTTTTTTTTTTCCGTCTCGTTGCCACTCCTTGCAAATTTCGACTGCAACGTTTCAATGTATTTTCTGTTTCCATACGTATACTGCAGGTAACAGGTACATTCATCCTTTTTCCGACGATTCTCTGTCGTTCGCTCCATTCCACATTTTCTGAGTCAAGTTCGTCTTTATGTCTCATAAAAATGATATAAAATTTGTAAAGATGTAGCGCACCCCCGTTACGAGTGAGAGACCGACTGTAGGTGCAGGAGCAAGAGATAGTAGAAAGTAGTCTCCTTAATCTTTCGCGAAGAGATAGAGAGGTAAAGAGAAGTAAAATAGCTATGAAACAGCTCTGTGGGAATATGTTTATGGTGTACATATATTTTTCTCGCTTTTTTTTTCGTTTAATCCAAATTGTTCGTTTACTAACTTGTGTAAAATATGCTATGTTTCAATGGAAAATTAGTAGATGAAATAGTTGAATTTTATGTTGTTCTTTTCAATAACGAGGCCAAAACTCGTCTGGAAAATTGTTCCAAAAATAAAAATAATCATCTTTTTGAAAAATTCACTCAACAAAGTATTTAAGGAAAAATTTATTTTTAAATTGCTCAACGACACAACGTGAGAATACCGATTGTTTGCTTTTTTCTCATTTTTCACCTCCACTATCGCTATCAAAACACCGTCAGAGGTGATAATAATCGATGCGGCTCAGGTAAACGAATGCAGTGCGCAAAGGCTCACGAGGTCCCGAGAGCCTTTGTGCAAACCATTTTGCCGACACAGCAACTGCCCATACACTGTGCAGAGAAAAATTTTCATTTTAATGACAACAAAGTATACGGCCTTATCGCCATGACGAAGAGATAATAAGAAAATAATAAATCTTTCACCAGCTTTTTGAGGATTCAATATCAATGCGTATCGCTTAGTCTGATTTTATTTTATCGATAGTTTCCAATGTCACATTTTTCCGAATGTACTTTAATTAAAAACATTTTTGCTTTCCATTACGATACACGATTTAATTTTTCACTGTAAAAATATCCTCCAAGTACTCCGGATGATAATTTTTCAAAGTTACATATAGCGATCCAGCAGCAGAGTCCCAGTGTATACTTCTGCATTTAGTGTTTTACGCCTCCAGTGGAGCTGATGTGTATAAATGGCCTGTCTTATCCTTTTATATCAGTCGGGCCATAACTTGGATTTATGGACGATGCGCTTTCTTCTTCCCCCGAGTGTGTATCGAGCTGACAACGATCGTAAAAGCAAAAACATCCAACGTAAGAATGTCAGAAAGGTCGATTAAAATATCGATCATGTGAAGATGTATAGACATTATTTATACTTTTAAATGCAAGAAATCCAATTTTTATAGTCCGTTTAAGAGTATGCATAAGGTATTGTTTGTAAGCCGAAAAATGATTTTTGTCGTTATTAAAAAGATATCCGTAAACATGAGTTTTATAAAATCTCCGGCCTAAAAATATCTTCGATCGTAGAAAAGAGTGATAAGATAATTCGAATATGTTAAGAAGTACTATCACAAAAATATTATTGATTTCGGCTCAACTTATCGTTTCTGTCAATACTTTTTTTTCTCAGCTTGTTACACTCACCTATAACAATATATATATATTCTGCGTCTGCGTAAGATAAGATTCAATGTCAAGGTGGTAAGCATCAATATACATACAGTCACAAATATATTTTTTGTTGACAATTCAGATGAAAAAAATTGAACAAGAAATAGGACTCAGGGCTTGATAAACCCAGCTGTAATGGTCATTAATGAAAAATCGAATGATCATCGCAGAGGGAGAGAGAGTCGCATGCATTGGAATCCACAGTTAATCTTGGCGATTATCAAATTACGGCTTGCCAAAGTCGAAATGGAGAACGAAAAACAGAAGTTTGAAAGGCGACCCAAGCGAAGCGCAATAAAGAAAGAGAAAAATCGGGTGAAAAAGAAACTCCCTCTTTCCGTGGCACAAAAATCAACGCCACCACTCTTCCCTTACGTTGTATATTTTTTTGTTCTCCCTCGCATGTTCTATATACAATACACACCAAACTTCCCTCGAAATTCCCCCAGAGAGAGAAAGAGGCGACGAAATAAGAACTCGAGCTCCACAGCGGTGAGTGAAGAACGAGAAAGACCAGAGATATAAGGACGACCCGCAATAAGTGCGACTAGGAGATTGTTCCTGAATGTAGGTGCATGACAGAGAGACAAAACGGTGAGAAGGAAGGGAAAGGCCGCAACGCCCAGGCGCTGGCATGGGCGTGGTTTCTCCACGACGCGTATGGCTCTGCTCCCACTCTCTCGTTTCCACAGATATCCCTTCTACTCCATACCTATACTTGCTCTCATCTCTCGGCTGACGAACGTACTACTGCCTGCACAGCCACCACTCTGGCACCCAGCAGTATCATCCTCCTCGAAAACTACTCGCTGCTCCTCTTTTTCTTTCTTGACTGCAACTTTCTTGTGTCGCTTTAGTCTTCCATTTCGATTTCCTTCCTATTTCCCTCCATTTCCACCCGCGTGACACTGGCGAGTAGATCCACCACCGAGGTTTTTTCTGGCCTCCTCGGCACCTTAGGTTTGTATGTGCTCTTCGCCGTGTGTGCGAGCCACTACACGAAAAGTTTTAGCTATTTCTGTTTTTGTGGAATCGGACGTGGCGTTTACTCTTCTGACGCTCTCACGTTAGCCACAGAGTTTCTTTCATATATACACGCCTCAAGAAGAGCTGGAGATAGTTGTAGGCGCCACATGCCATTGTTGGAAAACCTTTATCTCCCGTATACGCATTAACGTTGTCGGACTTATTTACTGTTGGAATCTAAAATGTTTTGCCTCCGTCCGGCTGTACCCATGCGTGTACTATATGCGGGTCGCACTGTATAAATGAAATATTTTATCACATGATGGTGCTTACATATTAATTATGATGGTCCAATTTGTTGTTCTACTGAGTTGTAAACTTTTTCACGAGGATCAGTACTTATAACGTTTTTATACATTACTTTTTCACGAGGATCAGTACTTATAACGTTTTTATACATTACTTTTTGCAAGCACAACATTGCCTTCGCAAAAAAGAAAATTCACAGATACACAACATTACTCTTTAAACCAAACTACTACGTTTGACGAAACAACATCAAAACTATATCAACTTCATGGCAAACCTACGAAATGAACCACTCTCTCTTTATCCCTCATAAGTGTGTGGTGAAGACTCAGAGAGGCAGAAAAAACTTATGCCCTCAGAAGAAGACGCATCCGTACAAATAACATCCTAGTGCCATTATCACCAATCACAATTTAACCCCCAAATGGCCACTTACATACATCACCCGTACGCGTGCCGTTTGTTCCCTATGCTTGAAAGACGAGAGGAAATGTCTACTCTTTCATCCCCATTTTCGAAAGAGTCATAGCCACCACGTTGACTTTGAAACTTTTGCCATGAAAAAATGTCGCTCTGATATATCGAATTCTATATTTCACAACTCAAACTATCACATGCATATGTATTAAAATAGGTGCGTGTAGTGGTATGATACAGTATACATTATGAACATGAAAAGCTGTGTACAAATATGTACACAAAAGATCCATCGGACCGATGGAAGGGCCACTTGAAGGAGCTGCACACTTTGGTACGACAGCCAAGTTCACGGAGTTGACCGTAGCGAGTTGGCATAACAGTGAAAGGTTCAGCAGGGTAATAAAAACGCTGACAGCCATGGGGTGAGACAGGACGAAAAGAAGCGCAGGTATACACGTGGAGCAGCGAAAAGAAGTGAGCCGGGCAAGCTTTTTCTCGGGCGAGCGTCAGCCGTCGGAGCTTGCGGCACATGAGCCGCGATAGGGGAAAGTCGAGCCAAGGGTGGAGAGCTGGGAGTGTAAGCATCCCCCGCTACGTCGGCTATAGTGAGAGCACACCACGTGGGGGTGGGGCTCGTGATAGGAGGGGCGACCGATGTTAGGAGGTGGAGAGGGAGGCATCTCTTCTTCGCTCGTGCTCGCACCCACGGCCCAAAGCAGAGACAGCGGGTACGGATTCGTCGTACGCAGGGGGATGCGGAGAGCACACACACACACACGCAAGGCTGTAGATAGAGAGTCGGCCGGACAGACAGATAGACAGCAACACCGACGACGGTAAATAGCTCAGCGCGTCGAAGGGGGAGAGAGAGAAAACCATCGGCCCGCATCACGCGCCAGGCGCATCAGCAGCCCGAGCGAGCATCAGCTAACAGCGGGCGGCGGTGCACGGAACACGCCGAGAGTATACTGCTATCACGCTACAGCATTTCTCCTGGATAGCGCGCAAGGGACTCGAGATCCGCGGAGATCCGTTGGGCTTTGGTGGACTTACCGAGGACTTAAGCCGGCCATCCCGCCGGCACGCGTCTTTTAATACGTACCCATCACGCAGTCCTGTAGTGGCCTATACACTTTTCTCTCTCGCTCTTTCGAGCCAGCCGCCAGAGGTACTCGCGAAGGAGCAGCTCCAGTAGTGGCTGCCGCCGCCGTCAAGCCGGGGCTTAAAAGCATACCCGCGGACTGACCTTAACCTACGCTCTACTTTCGATCCCGCTTGTAATAACAACAATAACAGTGGTTGTAATAATCTGTGCTCTAACATCAGTGTCGTGCCGATGAAGAAGTAGATTTTGGAATTGAGAAACAAGAGATCGTAGTAAAAAAAAATGTGCGCGTTTCGTGCACAACGATGAATCAATTACTGAGCCCCACTCAGGAGTCAATGGTGCTTGTGGCTCGACCATCTGGTGCGAAGTAGTACAGGTACATGTGTTAGCGAGACGGTGCCTAAGCCTATAGTGTAACAGCAAGATTACGTAAGTCCTCGTTGAACAAAACAAACGTATCGTGCCTACGTACATCTTATCATCATCGTCGTTGGTGAGGTGCGTAGGAGGAGGAGAATTTCTTATCGTGAGTGGGCTACGTGTATGGGCCCGTCCGAGAGGGTAACGTCGTTAAAGACGCGAGTGCGCAGTCCAAGCCGAGGAATTTTTGGCAGAGCTAAATGAGGCAGAGAAGCATGCGGATGCACGCTCCGACGGACTACTTATATCTGCACCGATGAATTGATACACCGCGATACGTACTCGTGCAAAATAGGGTAACATGAAAGTGTCGTTATTCGCGGTGCAGCGCAACTTTGAAACGCATCTCTTTTCTTGTGCGCGTGTGTGTGTTTGTGCGTTGATTGTGTGAATTTAACGAGACCAGGACAACGTCTGGAAAATAATAAGTAAGTGGTCGTCAACACAGAGGCTACAAACTTGATACCTTCAGGACGTGAGTGCAAGCTCGACGAGGCTCCAACTCTACTGATTGGGAGACAGCCAAAGCCAACTGGCGCAGTAGCAGCAATATAAGTCACTCTGTACGGTTGGACAGTAGCTCCGGGTAGACCCGTGGAGCATTTGGAGCAGCCGGCCGGAGGAGTCGAGCAGCCGGGGCTCTTGGAGCCGCTGAATTTCCGACCAAAGTACCCCCCAAGTACCGCCACGACGTTGGCCTACTACAGTATGGAGAACGGGGTGTTCGGGGGCCACCACCACCACCACGTACTCCGGGGGCTCGACCAGGGTGGGGGCGCTGGTGGCGGTGGTGGTGGTGCTGCCGAGCTCAACCTGCAGGACCTAGTGAGCGGCATCGGGAGCGCCTCCCCGGCCAACGTTGCCGCCGGAGCCGCAGCAGCAGCCGCCGCCGCCGCCCAACAGCACCTCCATCAGCATGCTAACGATCACTTGCACGGGGCGATACAGGCGGCAACAGCGGGGCACCATCCGGATCACATACACGCGGCTGCCACAGCATCCTACAATGGCACGCATCCTGCCCAAGTGCTGCACGAGCCGCTCGAGAGGCTTAGACGTGGTGAGTCGTTTCTGGTTACTGTGGGGTCGACTTTTTTCATCCATTGTTGTTATCAATGTTGTAGTTGATCAATCCTTTAAGTTTAAGTATAGATGTACGTAGTGGGTTTTTTTTTATGGTGATGCGAGATGAGAGAGCTTCCTATCATCGTTGTGGTTGCATCACAGATATAAAATTAGAATTTTCACATTAGCCTAAAAGGTTTTGTGTAACTTTATTTCTGTGATTATTTGAAATTTTTAACAGAGTAAATTGACTGCATTCTTTATTCCTTTTTTTCTAGTGAAATTTTCTTTGAATTTTTTTTGGGGGGGGGGGGGCGATATCCTGTGGCTCCAATAAAGCAGGTTGTAATGACCGTGCCATGGAACGCTAGGCCTGTAAATCCCGGACAATTCAGGTGTATTTCACAAGGCAGTACTCAAAGACACAAGTATGATGGTATTTGTTGCTGCAAATATAAAGCTCTATTTTCAAAAATTAAAAGTTAAAATACTCTAAAACACTTTGTTTGCGAGATAAAAAATAACCTACGAAAAGAACGAGGAGTTAAAGTTAGGGGACCTAAGGACTGTGCCAAGTTTCGGATTATGATTTTTAGTTAAATAGATTCTACAAGCAATTTCATAAAAAGTATTGAACCATTCGAAAAGACGAGCTGGCAGCAGACGATGCTCAAGTGTCTTTCGTGCATTTAGTCAAGCATTAAGTATAACAGTGTCTAACGACTTTACTTGCGTTGGCGTTAAAATTTTTATATTAACGCCTGAAAAGGCAAATATTTTTTATATAAGTGTCTTCCTTAAGAGTTGAGCTATCCAAGCAAACTTTTGTTTTACTAAATATACTACTCTCTGGCTCCCTAATTTGTGTATCAAAAACTACGTAATACGTCTCGTCTGTAAGAGCCAATAAGCAGTATGATTTCAAAATTTTTTCTTGAAAATTTGCCTGGAAAAATAAAGATTTTTTAAATCCATACAAACGTCGAATGTGCATAAAAACACTGTATGTTTATTTTAGCGAATACATTTTAAAAACTCTTGAACCTTCTACATGGGAGACCTAATTATTTGTCGTATTCTATCAATAAGCAGACTTTGAGTAGAATCATTTTTTTACAGAATAAATTGTCAAGGAATAATTAAGTTATCAGCAAATTTGTATTTGTAATTTTTTTAGTTTGTGGATAACATTATAATTTTTTATTAAACGTTTGTCTTTCATTATTTAGTTAAAACTAATGTGATGAGTTATGTATGTAATAACATGGCGTATTTCCAAAGTAATTAAACGTTTTAAAGAATGTAAAAATTTCAAGTGGTTGCAAGAAATGAAAAAGAAAAGTTGAAAATTCAGCTTGGAGGGATTGCCTGAGAATCAGAATAATGAAAACATAGTATACATAGAAAACTATTGAGAATATTGATTTAGAATTTATTTATATTTTATAGAATTCTACCAGCAGAGTACTAAATTATACATAAATCGTATATATTTTGCAAGCAGTGAAACGAATTTATATAGAATAATATAAAGTCGAACTTTATAAAAATAATCGAATGGACAAGAGTTTAATTTTTAGGTTGTCCAAAAATGAAAGCAAACGTAGAAAATGATATATAAAATGAAGGAACTGAGAATTTATCACAAAAATAAGATAAACCCAAAATTATAGCCTTTGTCAGTTCAGTTCTAAATGGCATTCCAATTTTGATCTTACCATTCAGTTAATTGAACAATGCGTGACAAGAAAAGATAATGTATGGGGTGCGAGGATATGTGAAGGAGCTAAACCTTGTGACAACAATACACTTTATGAATACTGTCTGTTAAAATATTCACTCACTCTAATAAGTGAAAAATAAAATTAGAATACTAGCATACAATAAAAAAAAAACTATACAAAATACTCAGTAAACGTATCAAAATGTTGTCCTTATTTTCAACTCGGAAACAAAGCAAAAACACAATAAAATGATTCTCTTTGAACGAAATTTTTCCGGTGAAGTGATATACACAAGGCGGAGATAAAAAAAAAATTTTAATGAAAAAAATAATTCTCTCAGCTTTTATCACCTTAGCACAAAGCAAGCGAGCATCAGCGAGCGCTAGCAAATATTTGAAAAACATTAAAACTTGAATTTTCACAAAAAAAAAAAAAAAAAAAAAAAATAGACAAACGAACAAGCCGCGATGGTTGTAGCAACGATCTCGCGTGTACCACTTTCGTCGGATGTTGGACAAATATAGATAAACTTTTAGTACCAACAAGCCGATAAGCCCGACGCCCTGTACTTTTTGCCGCTCAACGTACCAACCGACTCTGTTTCTATGTAAACTATCAAACTATCATTCTGCTCTCGTTGTTATACCCCTCTCCCAAAAAAAGAGTTCATTACTACGCTCTTTGTCCCATTCGCTTACGTGTACGGCATGTAAGCTGTTGGTTTATAACATTGTTTACTGGTTTAAGGTCTATCAAAGTGATCAATTTATGTTTGTTGTCAGTTGATTTGCAACTAGATATGACGGTACAATCGATCTTCCGAAAAATCGATTGACTATAATACATTGACGCGGCTATTAAACGGTCATTCCACGCTTTATCGGCGCAACGCTCAATAACAACACGATTACAAAAATGAATCGTAATCAGATGCACTTCTTCTCTAAGTAAAACATGAGTGGACCTAATAAACTTCATCTCTACGGATCGTCACAAAATGACAAAGATCGAAAATCCCGATCGGAAAGACAATAATTCAGATGCAGCGATTCAAGCACAGCCGGCTCGGACCTCTGTCTCTTCTCTGCTTCTGGTATACTATAGGCACTGCTTTGCCACCACCACCTGTTTTGTGATTCATTAACTCACCGGCTTATCGGGATAAGGCCGACTTATCTGGGAGCTCGAGGCCGACACCGCGGGTTAAACCCGATCTTATTTCAACGGCAACCAGGCCATTCCCGTTTCGGCTCCTCTCTCTCTCTCTCTCGTGTACCAACATCTTTGCCGGAATATACGCCAAAGCTCTCCTTTTCTTTTACGTCTCGTATTGTATCTCGGATATACTCAAATTTCTTCCATCGAGTTCTTATTTTCTGCAGATTTATTGACTTCGACGTGGGCTGTCTTGGTAATGATACTTTGCTTTGGAGCTAAATTCTCATCAACTCAAAGACGATTCTTTGCCAAGTGTCAATTATTTAGCTGGGAAAATAATAATTGTTGTTTGGATTACACGAAAAATCAAACTCGTTGTCTCTCATCAATCGTGTCTTACAAAGATATCGATGAATTAATAGAGAAAAGTAAGTAAAAGATATGTGACGCTCATAGCCGTCGTGTTGTTCGACGCCTCAGTGTAGGTATTTGTGTTTATATTTGCGATCGCGTGACATTGTTATTAAGATATTACTCATTTATCAGCCATCGATTCGATATCCCAACGATCGATTATGTGTCCAACGTGACGAATCACTTGAATTACTTATCTATTGCATCTGACAGATAAAATTTGAATCATCGAAACAATGAGATAGTACCACTGTGTTGTTGGGCAATTTTTCGCGTTTACCTGTGATTAGGTACCACCTTGAATTTGAATGACGGTGCTACATATATGTACATTTATATTTTGCTCTCGAGATTCGATTAGGAGTAACGATGCTGTATATACACCTATTTATTCATTGTCGAGAAACTGTTACTTCAGATTACTTTTAAAGATACTTTTACGTTATATCATTGACTATTCATCGACTAGAACTGATAACATTGTATCGACTGATTAAATTTTCATTATACTCCGGTTGAAAATTTTTTTCTTTTAATAAAAATCTAGAAAACTGTTACTCATTTCATTAAAATTATTTTCAGATCGTGCATGATTTTCCTGACGGCTGCCTGCATTATCTTGATTAATAACCTGTCCAAGCTAATCGCTGAACTCCCACATCGATCGCACCAACATCCAAAATGCATGTTTTCATTCAAATCAAGCCTATAAATTAGCTTAATCGCCTGCGACACCTGTCATCATCGATCTCATTGTTTTTTCGACCAAACAAACTATATCACGGTATCAAACCACTAAATTATTAAAAGTGATCACAACAGATATCTCAAACGAGCTTCCAATCGTTTTCCAACACCCTTTACCTACCGCATAGCCGTTCCCTCTCATTTCAGTCACTGTACATCGCACGACAAACGTATACACACGCACATCCATTCCCTCGTGTGCATAGTGGCAATCAATCTCGGAAAATCGGGGAAATTCAGGACTTGCGTGCCCAAAATGGTCAACGTCCCGGGCCTGCCCGATATTTCGCCAACATACGGCCGCATCTCTACTGAACCCCCTCAGTTCATCCCCAGCTCGGCTTCATTAACTCTACCCCTTTTAGTCATTCTGGGCGGTACCGCAGAGTGTCCGTATTACTATGCTATTGTACACAGACAGACAAACGCGCGCCAGTCATTCCTGAGGCACGGCAGATGCGCTCCGAAAAAGTCAGATACATCGACTATCGGCAACCCCATCCGAGAACCATGCTATCCTAATAGTGTTGACAAATTACTCGGCTCCCTTGGGATCTCTCTGTGCCTACGTGCACGCTCGTACTTTTCCACCCGCAAATGCTCATCGCACGCTCGTTTGGACGTTAAAGAGGATTTTGGGGGTATATGTATGTGTACGAAGGTACGAAACGGGAGCACACAAAAAAGGGCGGTCGACGCGAGATATACCACACCGTGCCTGTCCAACGGGGTGCCCAGCACCTATATCATATCCAGCGGGAGTAATATATTTCTCGTGAGTCGCAACGTGTTTTTGGTAGCTCGATTTTCAACTTGTGCGTGTGTGTGTGTGCGTGTGAGTATGCCTCAATGATTTCGATTTCAACGGAGGTACTTTTTGCGTTCTGTTTCTCTCCTGTATATAATGGTCGCGATGACGCGGATACGTACGAGCGATTGTATTTTATCA